TTCCTCTCTTTTATTTTGCCTTTTCACACAACGGACGTTATAGATCACAAGTCAGAAATCTCGCCGAAATTTCTTAAATTTCAGTGGAAGCATATAAAATAGTCTTTTGAGCCATAAAATAGTCGTTTGAGCCATAAGAGAAACAAAGATGTTGACACATACATAGGCCTTTCGTCTTGATCCCGTAAAGATATATATTTTTTCTTGTTTTCCCGGAAATTTCTAACACATGCTTTATTTTAATAGTTGAAATAGTTATTCATTTTGAATGTTTATCATTAGAATTTATAATAGAAATTCTTATTGACCCCAAGGGATTGAATGGAGTGGTTGTGGGCTCCACTTAGACTCCCACTAAGAGAGATTCAAGGTTTGAGCCGTGGCTCCTCCACTACTAAGGGGTGCCTACCGACTTGATGGACTGCTCCATTTATCTAGCACCTCATGTGTCCTGATGGGAATTATAAGATACAAAAGTGAGCCTCATTGTAGGCTCCACGTAGGTCCCATGATGTTGGCTCTCCTATTTATGTCTATCGGGATAAATCTTCTCTCTCTATCTCAATCAATTGCCGTAACGAAAATTTCATTATTCATAATTTTTTCGCTTTCATATAAAGGAAAGTGTAGGCCCTTTTTCTTTTTCTTTCTTTAGTTTTTTTTTTTTTTCTTTTACGAAACTTATGGTTTTTTTTACAAAACTTATGGTAGGAACTCTATTTTTATTCTATCGGTAGGTACTGCTATTTTAACTGTTGAATTATATTTTAATGGTCAAATCTACGAGTATTCATGTTAGAAAATTTTAGATGCACTATGTAAAATTGCTTCCAATATGTTGAAAAAGGAAAAGGAAAAAGAGGTAGAAGATAAACACAGCGGTCCTATTCTCTACGTCAATTTTGAGTTTTTAACTTGAGTTGAAAAGTGAATTTATATGAGAGAAAACATTGTAGCATAAAAAATTGAATTTAGATTTTTCTGAGAGAAAATACTGTAGTAAAAGTTTGAGTTGTAACTCGAACTAACAAAACGAACGAGACCACAACATTTGTAAAATTGCAAGTTTCTTACTCTACCCTGAGTGAAAGTTAATATAGTACTCTTATGTTTAGCTAAAAGATCGATCTTCCCTAAGCAAATACTTTATAGCACTTGCAAAATATAAGGAAATTTATATTCCACATTGTGATCAAATTCAAGATTTAGCATAATGAATTTTCCTTTCCCATAATGAAGTACTCTAGGAGTTTGATGAACCAACAATTGAGGGCTGTGACATAACCATTTTTGTAACTTTATCTTTATGCGAACTTGAAATGTTAGTTTAGCACATGCAAAAAAAAAAAAAAAAAAAATGTTGCTTTAATAATGTCAGAGATTACTATCTTCCCTTGACCCTTATCTTTGCTCTTCTTTCCAGAATCGGTCGAGACTAGAGTAAAAGCTTTTAACAGCATTGATCAAAATTTTATTAACTTTTTCTCGTTGCTTTTAATGTTTGGTAAGTATAACGTACATATGTCAAAAAAAGTATATACACATATCCTTTCATTTAGAATCTTAAATCGAAGTGGAACGATCTTTGGTTTGTACTTTTTTTTCCTCCTTTCAGATGACGATCTACGGTTTTTTTTTTTTTCTTTTTGGGTTAGGATTTTTTTTTTTTTTTTTGGCTCAAATTACACTTTAGGTGGTCTGCTCAACAGCACTAAAAGTTAGACAGACCAGTTGGAACACTAGGCTGGGGACATAGCCGAGCACCTAATCACCAACCGGCACCACCCATCCCTCCGGGGCTGAGCCATTCATGGCCAATCACTTCATGCTAAACTACTAACTGGCCAACCTCCTCCTCAAACGCGTTTTATTGTTGACCATCCTACGGCCGACCACTTCATGGCTAAGCATCGGTCAAGTGCTCAGCCAAAGGTTTCCTGCAGGCTCTAAAAGCCGTCAAAGTCGTACAAGGGGCACGTCTTTAGGCATACTTCTCTAACATGCGCATAGGTACGCAGGGGGTGGGACAGGATTTTCCCACCCTAACTCTATAAAATCCTATATTTGTCCTTTTTTCTTATAATCCAAGACGTATCACTTATGTGTTTAAACTATCTAAGAATTATACCATAATTTTATATTTAAAATAAAATATAACCTTTTATGTTGTTAAATTGTTAAAATGACATAAATACCCTTAGTGATCAATGTTTAAATATTATCTTAAAATTTAATATTTAAAAAGACATAAAACACTATGAAAAAGATATAAAACACTGGCCATCTACCTAAAATATTAAAGAAACACGTGAGATAAATTGAAAGTGAAAAAGATTTTTGTGGGTAAAGTGGGAGTCACACAATATCTTTAATATTTTAGTTTAGTCGTCACATTTAAGTCACGCTATATAGTTTTATATGTTGTTTTCTACCATTTAGTCGTCCCATTTTATTGAAAAATAATAATAATAGAAGTGCTGTCAAAATTTGTATTAATGCATGCCCATTGTCAAATATAATCATATATGTAATGATAGTTTTATTCATTATTTTAAATCCAAAAAGTATCCTCTTAGCTTTTAGGAAAATCCTATATTTGTCCTTTTTTTTTATAATCTAAGACGCATCACTTATGTGTTTAAACTATCTGAGAATTATACCATAATTTTTTTATTTAAAATAAAATATAACCTTTTAAGTTGTTAAATTGTTAAAATGACATAAATACCCTTAGTGATCAAAGTTTAAATATTGTCTTAAACATTAATATTTAAAAAGATATAAAAGAGTACTGGCCATCTACCTAAAATATTAAAGAAACACGTGAGATAAATTGAAAGTGAAAAAGATTTTTGTGGGTAAAGTGGGAGTCACACAATATCTTTAATATTTTAGTTTAGTCGTCACATTTAAGTCACACTATATATTTTTATATGTTGTTTTCTACCATTTAGTCGTTAGGTTTTATTGAAAAATAATAATAATAGAAGTGCTGTCAAAATATTATGGACATTTTCCAATGCTGTCAAAATATTCAGGTATTTTTGGATTTTGTATAGAGATATCCAAAACAATCTTGAATATTCAATGATATTGTGGATATTTTTGGATATTGTGGACATTTTGCAATGCTCCGGAAAGAATATCCCCACTTATGCGTATCGACATTACAAAATATGAACAACATATATCGTGAAAATGTTGGCAATACCGTGGATATTTTTTTCCACGCTTTGTGCTTACCGTGTAGATTAGTCCTAGAATCTATGAGTGGAAACAAAAATATGAATTTGATGGTCTTAAACCACGGTCAATGCTTGTCGCAGCTTCTAATAAAGGAAGTACTTTTTCAGTCACAAAATTGACTTGACTGACTCGACTATTTTATCTGTCTACCTCATAATTGCCATTTGCCAAGACGAAATTCCACTCTTTTATTTCGCCTTTTCACACGACGGACGTTATAGATCACAAGGTTGGAAATCTCACCGAAATTTCCTAAATTTCAGTGGAAATTTCGGATTTTTGAGATTCACGAAATTTTTTTGCCACTATATTTTCTATTTTTAGCAAAATGTCAGGAAATTTTATGAAATTTCAGTAGACTTTGAGGCTCTTGAAATTTTTTTCTACGGGAAAATTTTTGAAATTTTGGTAAATATCAATCCAAATGTCGATATCGATTTGTATATAGTGTAATTGAGGCATAGTTTTAAAAAAATTTCGGGAAAATATTAAGAATTTTCGGTGACTTTGGAAATTAAAAATTTAAAGTTACTTTTTACTTTTTTTAAATTTGCTTTATTATTTCTTTTTTTTTTGAATTAATTCTTTTGTCATCTAGTAAGTAGTAACCAGATTTTGCAGAACTTTGTAAGAATGTTTTAGCTTTCCATTTTTTAGTCAGAATCTTTCATTATTACAACTCTTCTAAGCGACTCCTAATGTTCATAGAATGTTAATAAATATGTACATAGACATAAAATGGTTGTACGTATTTTTAAAACTTAATACCTAAAAGGGAAAAAAAACTCCTTAATATGATGATTTATGTGTTATATATTATTATTTTTTGTAATTGATAGAGACCGTAAGATTTTATTATTTAATCAACGTTGTTAAAGTAAACTAAAATTTTATAGTTTCCATTAAAAAAAACTGAAGTTTAAAGTAAACTAAAATTTAGTAGTTTCCATAAAGGTTTAGTAGTACTTGAAAAAAAAATGCAAGTCTTAAAAAAACACATAAGTCCTTTTATGAAATATTTACTATATATTAAAAAACAAAAAACTACGTATTAGATTAGTCTAGCTCTATATAAGATCATGTGTCCTCGCCATTTACTTGTCAAATCAATCTCGCTCTACAATAAATCTTGATTCGCTGTCATCCAAACACATTCACTCTTTTTTTCTTGATTTTATTTAGCTTTAAAATGTATGTTTTAATATTTTACATAATTAATGGTTAAAATAATATTTAAATAGTAACTATTGAGGTTATTTTTTACGTTTCAAAAACTTTAACTAGTTAAAGGGTTATTTTTTTTACTCTTAAAAAGACGTAGAGGATAATTTTGGGATCGTCTAACAAAACATAAGAATAAATGTAGGATTTAACTAAAACTACTGAAGTCAACGGGTATATTTTGGATTTTCACCGGTTTTAGGAAGGTGCAAACTTTAATTTTTATTTTTATTTTTTATAAGTGACTATAGAGAGGTAACCATGACATTAGTAACTATCACCTAAGTGGTTGGATGCAAGCTGTAAATCAACTAATTACGGGGCCAAGATATGTCTAAATTGTTAATATATAATTTTTTTTGAGAAATAAATTGTTCATATATTGAGAACAGTACTAACTTAGACCGGGTCAATGCTTTCGATACTGTTGATCATAGCATAGCAAGACCGAATGAGATATTCATGCACATATATATATACATGGCGTGGGTTTACTGTTTTCATGAGACCATTTTCATTCTCCCTCTGCTAAATCCACAATGACACTGTTTTCATGGCCCTTCATTTTCTCGATCCTAGTCACCCTTTGTACGCTCCTAGTTTCTGGTGATCAATGTCTTGGCTCTCAGCAATCTTTGTTGCTCCAACTGAAGAACAGCCTAGATTTCAACAGTAATTACTCTTCGAAGCTCGTGAATTGGAACGAAAGTTCTGATTGCTGTTCCTGGAAAGGCGTAACCTGCGAAGAAGAGGGTCGTGTCACACGTCTCGACTTAAGTGGCGAGGCAATCTCCGGCGCGCTTGACAATTCAAGCACTCTTTTCAATCTCCAACATCTCAGGAGCCTTGATCTGTCTTATAACGACTTCAACTCTACAATCCCATCGAGGATTGGTAACCTCACAAATTTACGGAATTTGCATCTACGCTACGCAGGCTTTGTGGGGCAAATACCAACTGAGATTTCCCATCTAAGAAGCTTGGTCACTCTTGATTTATCCTCTGATCTGTCAAACCTTGAGATCCCAAATTTGAGTGTTCTGGTTCAGAACCTGTCAAAGCTTCAAGAACTTTCTCTTGATTATGTGAACATATCAGCCCCTCGAAATGGATGGTGCCAAGCATTGTCATCCTCACAGCCTAACCTGCGAGTCTTGAGCTTATCCAATAGCCATGTTCCTGGCCCACTAGATGAGTCGCTTGTGGAGCTTCAATCATTGTCAGTCATTCTTCTAGAAGGTACCAATTTGTCTTCTCCAGTCCCAGAATCCTTTGCGAAATTTTCAAATTTGACTCACTTGAATCTTCGTGATTGTGGGTTGCATGGAACATTTCCTAGCGGCATCTTCCAGGTATCAACACTACAAATTCTTGACATATCATCTAATCAATTTCTTGAGGGTACTTTACCAGAGTTTCAAATAAATAATTCTCTTCAAGAATTATCTCTCTCTTCCACTAAGTTTTCGGGGAGGTTACCGGCATCTCTAAGTAACCTTCGGAACTTGTCCACGTTACACCTTTCCATGTGCCAATTTAACGGCAAACTTCCAACTTCCATGTCAAACCTCACCGAAGTCGCCAATGTTGATCTATCTTTTAATAATTTTAGTGGCCTTGTCCCATCTTTTAGTTTGTCCATGAAACTTGTCCAGATAGATCTCTCTTATAATCATTTAACTGCTGAGATACCATTAGATCTGTTTGTACTTCCATGGTTAGAAACGATTCAGTTGTCCAACAACCAATTTAGTGGCCCCATTCCTGAGTTTAAAACGACATCTTCTTCATTATTAGAGACCCTAGATTTGAGTCACAACAATCTAGAAGGGTTGCTTCCAACATCAATCTGGAAACTGAGAAATCTAAAGTTCCTATATTTGTCTTACAACAAGTTCAATGGAACCAAACAGCAGAATATGTTTCGAGGATGTCCCAACCTTTATACTCTCGACCTTTCATATAACAACCTGAAGTCGTTTCCTGATTTAAAGAATATATCAGGGTTGAGAGTTTTGAGTATTTCCAATAACCAGATTTCAGGACAGATTCCTAAATGGATTTGGAAAGTTGGGGATGGGGGACTTATGAAGATAGATCTTTCATGTAATTACCTAGTATGCATGGAGGAACCTTCTGTTTTCCCGGAAAATCTTGTAACCCTTGACTTACACTTTAACAAGTTACAAGGAAACATCCCTGTTCTTCCAAAATATCTTGCGTATGTAGATTTGTCTAGCAATAAGTTAACTTCATTTCCATATAACCTTTCAGATTCTATTTTCTTCTCCCTCTCAAACAATAGCCTTACAGGAGTTATACCTGAACGCATATGTGCCACTGGAAACATTTTGGCTCTTGATCTGTCGCACAACAATTTAAGTGGTAAAATACCAACATGTTTAATTGAAACTAGCGATACGCGTGAGATGTTGAATTTGCGGAAGAACAACTTCGATGGCCCAATTCCTGATGTGTTCCCAAGGGGATGTACATTAAAGGCACTAGATCTCAATGGAAATTTCATCGAAGGGAAGATTCCAAAATCTCTGGCCAATTGCTCTGCATTGGAGTTTTTGGACCTTGGGCACAATGAACTCGTTGGCAAATTCCCCTGCTTGTTGAAGAATATATCCAACTTGCATGTCCTTATTCTTCGATCAAACAAGTTGTATGGCAGCATTGAGTGTCCAACTGCTGATGGAAGCTGGCCGATGCTTCAAATATTTGACGCAGCTCAAAATAATTTTAGTGGAGAATTACCAAGACGGTGGTTAACGAAATTGCAGGGAATGGCAGTTGAAAATGGTGACTCCCATGTCGAAGTTCTACAGTATGAGTATTTGAAAGGACTCTTTATGTCTCAGTCGGTAGGGTATGAGTATACAGTGACAGTGACCATAAAAGGGTTGGAGATGGAGCTGCCGAAGATCTTAGATATCTTCACTTGCATTGATCTTTCCCAAAACAATTTCCATGGACAAATACCGGAAGAATTAGGACAACTCCACGCACTTCATATCCTCAACTTGTCCCATAATGCTCTCACTAGTCATATCCCTTCTTCGATAGGGAACTTGCGAAATCTTGAGTCCTTGGACCTCTCGTGGAACAACCTCAGTGGAACAATTCCAACGCAACTCCAGAGCCTCAATTTCCTTCAATCATTGAACCTCTCATTCAACCAACTGGTTGGAATGATTCCAACAGGCACTCAAATTCAGACATTCTCAGAAGATTCCTTCATAGGAAACAAAGGACTATGCGGATTCCCTTTGAAGAGTTGCTCAGACAAAGTGGCACCAAATGCAACAAAAAACAATCATTCAAATTCTGGGAGAAAGATTGACTGGAATTTTGTAAGTGCTGAAATTGGACTCTTGACTGGGTTCGGAGCAGTTGTTGCACCGATCGTGTTTTCTCGAAGATGGAGGATATGGTACTACGAACGTGTTGATGACATCATATTCAAGATCTTCCCATTAGCTGTATCGAGGAAGTGGTTTATGTGGACGGATATTTAACCGGCAATGGCAGTGAAGAGCAATCGGATCTTTCCATTAGCTGTCTTGTTTTTTTTTTTTTTTTTTTTTTTTTTTTTTTTTTTAAATATTTTTTTTTTTTTTTTTTTTTTTTTTTTTTTCAAAGTCAGTTTGAAGTGTGACAATAAGATTTGCATCCCCTTGTTTGATAAGCTTTGTGTAAACGTGTAATGCAAGTAATTAGTTCTACCGATATATAGAGACTTAGTGACATGAACTGAGAGATGAATATTTCTGTAGTACTTTCACATTTGTTTTCCTTTTGATATATGATACAATTGTCATGCAATAACTACTATCAGCTTTTTCTTGTTTTTCTTTTTTTTTCCATCTTATGAGAATAATTAGTGGAGATTGTTTGAGTAAAAACGAGTTTTTTTTTAGCTTGTTTGAGATTTGTACGTCTAGCCTATCAGATTATAGTTATAGAGGTACAAATCTTAGAGTTTAGAGGAAAAATCATTGACTGAGTTCATGATCTGTTCATATCACTCCCATCTGCTTATGTCTGGTAAGTTTTTGAAGTGAAACTAAAATTTAGCTCCACATATATTTAAATGTAAATATTGAAGTTTCCACTTTTTAGTAAAACTCTGTTATTTGATTTTGCAAATATTATTCGTACAGTGATTGTTCAATCAAAGCCGATGTTTTCGGTTGTTATCGACTTCTATGCCGAGTAAACGGTACGAAAGCAGGGAAGGACTTTTCCTTTGGGGTAGAAAAATCATGATCGGGGTTGCAAACCCAAAGATATGAAATTTGGGCGTGGGTCGGTCTATTGTCGAAATAGAATTGCCATACATTTTCTTTTTTTAACTTTAAGCTTTAGCGGCGTGTGTTTTAAATATAGTATGCTCCATCAGCATTTTTTTTTTTTTTTGTTTTACGCGTCGTAATTCTTCCTCAGCCAGGCGCAGGCAGGCTTTCTGAATGAGTTGATCATTTTTCAATCATTATCATGTTGAGTTCTTGTTTGTATTATTGTAGTAATTGAGATTATCGCTAATAAAATATTATCAACTTGGGAACAATTTTACCATTTTCAACTTATAACCATAATCTTTGGGAAAATAATGGCATTTATTTATTTCCTTCTATAATAACAAGCGTTGCATAGAGTTTAATAATAAATTATTCCATTAAATTGGATTCCTTTGAACAAAACATAATCAAAGTTAATATCCAATTGCAATTTAATATTAATTGTTAGTCTTTAGAAGAATTAAGATCACAAAGGAGTAGTGATAACATCAATACAGCACTATGCAAATTGGTCCCTCCCCTCAAGTTCTTGGATGTCTAACTTTCAACAAATATTAAAGAAAAAAGATAAATAAAAAAGAAGGGTTTATTTATTTCAGGACAAAAATAAAAAAGTCAGAAAAAGACAAAAATAAATAAATAAATAAATTTTAAGATAAAAGGAACAAAAATAAAAAATAAAATAAAATTTCAGGACAAAAATACAAAAAATGTCAAAAAAATGACCAAAATGAAGAAATAAGTAAGCTTAATGTAAAACGAACTAAAGCAAAAAAATAAAGTTTCGGGACAAAAAAAAAAGGGTCAAAATAGTTAAAATGAAGAAATAAATAAGTTTCAGAACAAAAGGAACCAAAACAAAAAAGAGTGAAACTTCATGACACAAAAAAAAAAGTAAAAAGGACCAAAATGAAAAAAATAGATAAATTTTAAGATAAAAAGAAAAAATATGGAAAAATATAGTTTTAAGGAAAAAATGGAACAAAAGGTCAAAAAGGGCCAAAATAAAGAAAGAAATAAGTTTTAAGATAAAAAGAATTAAAACAAAAAATAAAATAAAATTTAAGACAAAAATAAAAAAGGATAAAAATAACTAAAATAAAAAAATAAGTAAATTTTAGGGTAAAACAAAAAAAATAAAAAATAAAAGGAAGGACATGAACAAAAAAGAAGGGAGGAGCGGCATTTCGACCAAAACGGTAGCGGTTTCGTCAAAATGGGAGCAAAGTGTTAGATATTGACACTTTTTATATACATAGTTAGGGCCCATTCAGTTCGCTAATTCGAGTTTTTAATTCGAGTTGAGATGTGATTTTATGTGAGAGTTTTTTACTGTAACAAAAAGGTTAGATGTGACTGTTTGTAAAAGCTTTTCACTGTAGCAAAACTCAAATCAGCGAAATGAACGAGCTCTTAGATTCATATCCACCTATTATCCTACAGAGAAATCTGCAAGACTACGAGGGTAAAACCTCAAATAATATATAACAAATAACAATAAAAAATAGCAGAAAAAAATAATTTTCTAGGAACCATCGATGACTTTGTGAATAACCAAAAAAATTAATTAAAATAAAGAGTAGTCAAACAGGCATCTTACTTTTTAAACAAAATTTCTGTCTAGTCCTAAAGAGAATAAAAATTAGGGCATAGTAGTGGTATTTTTTTTTTTCCAGAAATATAAGAATATATGTAGACTTACTGCCAGTATTGGATGTTGATATGCTTCTTTGCCTATATGTTGGGAGATAAGATTACAATTTTAGTGTTGTTTGCTTCATTTCCATTGAATAGTTATTTGTCAAATTCTAATATTGCTCGGTGGATTTACCGCTAGACTAAGTTTATAACTATGGACGTTATAGGTTCTTATATATGTTGAGATTAGTTTTAGTAGCGTTTGTCCCAATGAAATTAGTACTTGACTCCTGAAAACACAACCTGTAAATCATATTTTCGTACAACTTAAAGCAGTAATCAACTCTTTTTTTCGGTCCGAATAAGAAAAAGAGAAAGAAAAACAAAGAAAATAAACATAATTTTTGAAAAAATTGGAAAGTCTTTTACTATTTGGTCTACCAAAAGCAAATACTTTATACCACTTTCAATGTTTGGTCCTCCACATTTCCTCGAAATTTTCATGTTTTAAATGCTATGACCAAAACGGTATGTTGGGTCTCACTTGTGGAGGATCATATATAACTAATTACTGGGCCACAGTGCCACGGTATCTCTAAATTTTCAATGCTTTTGATATTGTGGGTCATAGCACAGCAAGACTTTTGATTAAGACACTCATGCATATATATATATATATATATATATATATATTGTCTCCAGTCCGGTACCAGACTGGAGTGACACTTGTACATCTCTTATTTAAAACATGTATATTTTTTTTTTAAAATGTGTATATTTTAACTTAAAACATGTACATTTCCTTTTATGGTAAAACTATATACATTTCCTTTTCGTTCTGATTGGTTCTAAAACCCAAGAATTGATATCTTTCAATTCTTTTTCATTTCTTAATCTTGATATTCATGTGTTGGCCCACTTGTGGGTTTAACACAGCATCCTGCACTTCTTTCCTAATTGTAGTCTGAAAATCAGTAACTCCATCACACGTCAGAAATTTCTGATCTTTAACTTACAACCTACTATTCAATATTAATTTCAACAAATTTTTATCATAAAAATATTCACATTTAATACAGTGAATTCCAAGAAATTTGTCTTATACAATAATTAATTCCTTTAACAAATTTCCCGATGACAATCCATTTAAAAAAATATATATATACAAATACATGACAAATGGTAGCCTATTTCGTTGAAAGAGATGCATGGAGCCTCTTTTAATTACTACATATTTACTTGTTAATCATTTTCATAAAAAATTTATTCAATTTTATGAGTGACTAAATATACGCTTTATGCTCTGCTAATTCCTATACAAATTTACAAGAGACGGAGCAAAAGTATATATTCATCACCATTTTATGTGTAATAATTATTAATGAAGTCGCATTTCACTACCGTATTTATTTTGTCCAATAAGTAGGTGGGGATAAAACAAAATATTAAAGAATTAAAAGTGAAAAAATTTTGAGTTGGAATGCCCTCACCGCTTTTCCTGTGCTCACTGTCTGGATTGGCCCCTATAAGGGAATAACTTAAACTGTAAGGACCTATGAATGTAAATAAAGTATGCACGCTTTTGTAAGAATAATGCTTTTGGAATTGGAAACAACCGTAGATTGGTCTTAAACCATTTTGGACGTTAAATACTTTTTGCAGCGTGTAATAAAGGATGTCTCTTTATTAGAACTGCTCGGATGGGCCGTGCGCCGTGGGCGTGGTGGTTTTGTTACTTGAGTTGATTGACTGCAGGTCTATTTGATCAGTCTCTGCCTCAAAATTGCCCAACTTTTCATATATATAATGGATCTGCCAATCAAATATTGCTTGAGTTGATTTTAGTAAATTGTTAAGTGATTTTAGAGGAAAATTTTAGTAGATTTTAGTAGATGCCAGTACATCACTAATCTCTTTTCTCTGAACAAATAAATAAATAAATAATGGATCAAACCAACACGTCTATTTCAAAATAATTAAGGATTATTCTATTATATTTCTATTTGATGATTTTTCGAGTGTTATGTGCCGTGAACAAATACAATAATATTTATCTTTCATTCTTGCAACATGCTCTCTATCTCTCTCAACGGATATTTTTTTGTTTCTGCAAATAAATCTCAACTTAACTTTGCATTAATGCATTTCCGAAATATTCATGAATGTAATTAAAATTTTAGTCATGATTTTAATTAGTAAAAATCAGAGTGCTTTTTTTTTTTTTTTTTTTTTTGTTAAGATATTTCAGCTCATACTCTAACTGCTATATTTTCTGCTCATCAACAATTGAAAGCCTCCTGCAATAAGGTATAACCAATAAATATAGCATGTGTATGCTTATTTGTTTGTTTCCTGCTATTTTATTGCTCTCAATAGTAAAGAATTAAGGTGTCTAATTCTTAAGAATTCATGACTATGAAATAACCCTGATTAAGAGGCAGTGCTTTGATTACAGGGGCGGAGGAAGATGAGGCCCGGGGCATTTGCACCCCTAGGTTTTTGGTTTTAAAATTATCACCATATAGTGTTTTAAGTTTTCTTTTTTTCAAATATACCCCTTGTGCCCCCTTGATTTTTATTTCTTATTTTTAACATTTTTACCTTATAGATTTTCAAGTTTTTTCCAAATATACCCCATTCATTAATAAAAATTTCAAAATAGCTCCACTAAATCTAATGTAAATATTTTTTTCCTACTTTTTGGTTTTATCTGACTGTTCTTTTACATTTTTTATGTTAAATCTTACACTCTCTAAGCTAATTGAATTATTTTTCTTTCATTTAGTGTAGTTAAAACCTTTTTTTTTCAAAATTTGTCCCTTTTAGTATATTTTTCATGTAATTTTTATCATATATATCAAAATTGGGCCTTAGAAGAAATGTTTAAATGATCCTTTAAACTTACAATTCGCAAATGTATCCCTAATTAAACATTTTTTTTTAAGTAATCCTTTCAATTACTATTTTTACATAAAATATATTTTTTCTAATTTACCCTTGTTGAAGTAATGAAATCAGTTTTTCTTCAATTATTTTTTAAAATTAAACTCTTCAAAATTTTAATTCACGTATCAAAAGAGCAATAAACTAATTAATATACTCATTTGTAGAACATGCTTCCAACTAGTTAATAATATTAGGTGTTGATATTATAAGCGCTTTGTAACATTTTCCACCCGCCAGTTTACCTCTGGTCAATTACATTGAATAACTGGTCCCTCACTACAAATTCTATGAACCACGCTCATTATTGTCAATTTCCAAAGATGTAAGTTGGACTAGAAATTATGAAAAATAAAAGGGAGAAAATGGAAGGAAAGAGTATGGTAGGTTCATTTTATAACAAAAGTCCCTGCTTGAAGGTTCAAACTAGCTAGAGTTGCTCTTTTTCTTTTATCCACTTTCAACAAAGAGATTAATTTCCTTGATCTATAAATTGAATTGTCATGCAAATCTCGCTTGACTTTTAAGTGTGAAAGCATATAAAATAGTATTTTGAGCCATAAAAGAAACAAAGATGTTGACACAGACATAGGCATTTCGTCTTTTTCCCGCAAAGATATATATTCTTTTCTTGTTTTTCCGGAAATACTTATTTTAGTGGGACTGATGAATGAATGAAATCTTTTTAATAGAATTGTTTGCATGTTCTAGCTACGTTTGTAACATGACTTATTGACCCCAATGGATTGAATGGAGTGGTTGTTGGCTCCGCTTAGACTCCCACTAAGAGAGAGATTCAAGGTTTGAGCCGTGGCAACTCCACTACTAAGGGGTGCTTACCGACTTGTTGGACTGTCCCCCATCAGATATAAAAGTGAGCCTCACTTGTAGGGTCCACGCATGTCTCACCATGTTGGCTCTCCTCTTTATGTCTATGGGGATAAATCCTCTCTCTCTATCTCAATCAATTGCCATAACGAAAATTCCATTATTCATAATTTTTTCGCTTTCATATAAAGGAAAGTGTAGGCCCTTTTTCTTCCAAAACTTATGGTAGGAACTCTTTTTTTACCTTATCGGTCGGTACTGTTGTTTTAACCGTTGAATTATATTTTAATGGTCAGATCTACGAGTATTCATGTTAAAAAATTTTAGATGCACTATGTAAAATTGCTTCTTGTTTTTTTTTTTTTTTTTCCATCTTATGAGGATAATTAGTGGAGATTGTTTGAGTAAAAACTAGTTTTCTTTTAGCTTGTTTGAGATTTGTACGTCTAGCCTATCAGATTACAGTTATAGAGGTACAAAGTTTAGAGTTTAGTTGAAAAACCGTTGACCGAGTTCATGATCTGTTCATATCACTCCCATCTGCTTATGCCTGGTAAGTTTTTGAAGTGAAACTAAAATTTAGCTCCACATATATTTAATTGTGAATATTGAAGTTTCCAATTTTTAGTAAAACTCTGTTATTTGATTTTGCTGATATCATTCGTAGAGTGATTGTTCAATCAAAGCCGATGACCACAACAAAAAAACATAACAAAAAAATTAAAAATCAATCAATATAAAATATTATATTCAATCAAAGCCGATGTTTTCAGTTGTTATCGACTTCTATGCCGAGTAAACGGTACGAAAGCATGGTAGGATTTTTCCTTTGGGGTAGAAAAATCATGATCGGGATTGCAGACCCAAATGGGTCGGTTTATTGTCGATATGGAATTGCCATACTTTTTCTTTTTTTAACTTTAAGCTTTAGTGGTGTGTGTTTTAAATATAGTATGCTCCATTAGCTTTTTTTTTTTTTTTTTCGTGCCGTAATTCTTCCTCAGCCAGGCGGAGGCAGGCTTTCTGAATGAGTTGATCATTTTTCAATCATTATAAGGAACAATTTTTGCATTTTCAACTTATAACCATAATCTTTGGGAAAATAATGGCATTTATTTATTTCCTTCTATAATAACAAGGGTTGCCTAGAGTTTAATAATTAATTATTCCATTAAATTGGATTCCTTTGAACAAAACATAATCAAAGCTAATATCAAATTGCAATTTAATATTAATTGTTAGTCTTTAGAACAATTAAGATCACAAAGGAGTAGTGATAACATCAATACAACACTATGCAAATTGGTCCCTCCCCTCAAGTTCTTGGATGTCTAACTTTCAACAAAGATTAAAGAAAAAAGAAATAAAAAAGAAGGTTTATTTATTTCAGGACAAAAATAAAAAAAGGTTAGAAAAAGACGAAAATAAATAAATTTTAAGGTAAAAGGAACAAAAAAAAAGAAATTCTAGGACAAAAATTCAAAAAAAGGGTCAAAAATGACTAAAATGAAGAAATAAATAAGTTTAATGCAAAAAGAACTAAAGCAAAAAAATAAAGTTTCAGGACAAAAATAAAAAAAAAAAGGTCAAAATAGTTAAAATGAATAAAAGTAACCAAAATAAAAAAGAGTGAAACTTCAGGACACAAAAAAAAAAGGTAAAAAGGACTAAAATGAAAAAAAATTAGATAAATTTTAGTATAAAAAGAAAAAATACAGAAAAATACAGTTTAAGGAAAAAATAGAACAAAGGGTCAAAAAGGGCCAAAATAAAGAAAAAAAATAAGTTTTAAGACAAAAAGAATTAAAACAAAAAATAAAATAAAATTTAAGACAAAAATAAAAAAAGGATAAAAATAACTAAAATCAAAAAATAAGTAAATTTTAGGGTAAAACATAAAAAATAAAAATAAAAATAAAAGGAAGGACATGAACAAAAAAGAAGGGGGGAGCGGCATTTCGACCAAAACGTTAGCGGTTTAGTCAAAATGGGAGCAAAGTGTTAGATATTGACACTTTTTATATACATAGATAGATAGATTTATGTCCGCCTATTGTCCTACAACGAAATCTGCAAGACTACGAGGTAAAACCCCAAATAATATATAACAAATAACGATAAAAAATAGCGAAAAAAATAATTTTCTAGGAACCATCGATGACTTTGTCAATCACCAAAAAAAATTAATTAAAATAAGGAGTAGTCAAACAGACATCTTACCTTTTAAACAAAATTTCTGTCTAGTCCTAAAGAGATTGAACTCGTTAGATTGTGTTATTTTGTTTGTCACAGAACAGAGGATGATCAGTACAATTTTTTTTTTTTTTTTATCAGTAAAATTTTGGCCACTGAATGAATATTATCCATGCAAATGCTTCATGCTATAAATTTGGAATTTTGCTCATGGCGTTTGTATTCATTGATGAATGATGAGCAATATAAACAGGTTTCATTTTTATCTGAAAGATTTATGCACAACAGCACTTATATTTATTTTTATTAGTATTATATGTGTGTATACATAATTACTTATGCGCACTTTTATTAATTAAGCTTATATTGATAATTCCTTTGTATTAATCTGAACTAGTTATGTTTTATAGCCTATTCTAGCAAACTCATGTAGATTTTTAAACCATGCTTCAATTTTCTGATCCTCAGCTTAGTTAGAAAGCTAACTAATACAAGATTCATGTTTATACTCTCTATAATAAATTATTTTCAATCTTTGCTAATAAACACCTCAATGATTTCAAAAAATAAATAGATAAATCACCCGCCCTGCTGATTTTTATCAATTAAGTAAAATATGCCTCAATGAATTTTGATATTGCCGCAGATTGTGACTTAACAAAAAAAAAAAAAAAATCGAATAAAAAACTATAACTAAAAATTTAAAAAGTCGAAGCTGTCAGCTAAACCAAATTCGCTCCTCTGTTGTCCCTCAGAGGCAAGAGGGGATTGTTGTTGCCCATATGGGCAATTCCGTTTCAGGTGGCCTATCTGATGACAAATGTGACAAGTAGTTGGTTGGAGTCTCATTCTACCTGAAGATCCATTGCTCCCACCAGTACCTCTACCATGTGAATTCGGACCCTGTAACCATTCTTGCTTGCCTACTGACGGATTCCTGAACGGAGCAAGTTGCGTCAAACTATTATTAGCACCTGCAGAAGGTGGACAAAAGCTCCCAGATGCTTGCGGAGACGAATGAGCATTCTCGCTCTGCTGAAATCCTGGGACCCGTGGTTGCATCTGAGGGTAATACTGTGGAAGGATCCCAAAAGACTGTTGTGTGGATGCAAATGAAGCCGATGATTTCTCGTACGGAGCAGCCTGTGTCTGGCTATTGTGAGACAAAAGAGCGTTCTCAATCCGCTGAAATCCCGAAACATGTGGTTGCATCTGAGATGAATACTGAAGTAGAGTCCCAAGAGGCTGTGAGGTGGATGTCAATGAAGCTGAAGACGAGTTATTGTACGGAGCAGGCGGTGTCTGGCTATTGTGAGACAAAAGAGCGTTCTCAGTCTGCTGAAATCCCAAAACCTGAGGTTGCATCTGAGAGTAATACTGAAGTAGAATCCCAAGAGGTTGTGAGGTGGATCCAAATGAAGATGAGTTATTATACGGAGCAGGCTGCGTCTGGCTATTTTGAGCACCCGAAGAAGCTGAATCGAATTGGCTCTTATGTTGTCCCCATGAGGAAAATAGGGATTGTTGCTTCCAATCAGGGCAATTCCGTTTTATGTGGCCTATCTGTCGACAATAATGACAGATAAGGCCGGCTTCCTTGCTCTCATTTGTATCGCTGCCTTGGGAACTTTGACCCTGTAACTGGTTTTTCTCGCCACCTGATGAATTTGGATCTAGAGCAGGTTGTGTCTGACTATTGTGAGCAGCCAAAGTAGATGAATCGAATTGGCTCTTATGTTGTCCCCCTGAGGCAACTAGGGATTGTTGCTTCCAATCTGGGCAATTCTGTTTTATGTGGCCTATCAGTCGACAATAATGACACATAAGGCCGGCTTCCTTGCTCTCATTGATATCGCTACCTTGGGAACTTTGACCCTGTAACTGGTTTTTCTCGCCACCTGATGAATTTGGATCTAGAGCAGGTTGTGTCTGACTATTGTGAGCAGCCGAAGTAGCTGAATCGAATTGGCTCTTATGTTGTTCCCCTGAGGCAACTAGGGATTGTTGCTTCCGATATGGGCAATTCCATTTTATGTGGCCTAGCAGTCGACAATGATGACACATAAGGCCGGCTTCCTTGCTCTCATTGATATCGCTACCTTGGGAACTTTGACCCTGTAACTGGTTTTTCTCGCCACCTGATGGATTCAGATCCGGAGGTTGTGTCTGACTATTGTGTGCACCCAAAGAAGCTGAATCGAATTGGTTCTTCTGTTGTCCCGCAGAGCCAAGTGGGGATTGTTGCTTCCAATCGGGACAACAATTCCCTTTTCTGTGGCCTATCTTCCTACAATGGTTACACTTAAGGTTGGCTTCCTTGCTCTCATTAGAATCGCTGCCTTGGAAACTTTGACCTTGTAACTGATTTTTCTCACAAACTGATGGATTCAGATCCGGAGCAGGTTGTGTCTGACTATTGTGTGCACCTGAAGAAGCTGAATCGAATTGGCTCTTCTGTTGTCCACCAGAGGCAAGTGGGGATTCTTGCTTCCAATCTGGGCAATTCCGTTTTATGTGGCCTCTCAGCTTACAATGACGACACTTAGGGCGGACTTCCCTGCTCTCATTAGTATCGTTGTCTTGGGAACTTTGACCTTGTAACTGGTTTTTCTCACCACCAGACAAATTTTGATCTGGAACAAGTTGTGTCTGACTATTATGAGCCCCCGAAGAAGCTGAATCGAATTGGCTCTTCTGTTGTCCCCCATAGGCAACTGAGGATTGTTGTTTCAAAACTTGGCAATTTTGTTTTATGTGGCCTATCTGTCGACAATAATGACACACACTCAGCTGGCCAGACGATCCACCAGTCTCATTGGCACCGCTTCCTTGGGAACATTGACCGTGTATCTGGTTTTTTCCTCCACCTGATGAATTCGGGTCCAGAGCAGATTGTGTCTGGCAATTGTGAGTAACCACTGAAGCTGAACTGAATTGGCTCCTCTGTTGTCCCCCAGACGAAAGAAGGGACTTTTGTTGGTTAAGCGGGCAATTTCGTCTCATGTGGCCTGTCTGTTGACAAATATAACAAGCACTTGGATCGTTGCTGCAAACCTGTAACTGGTCTTTCTTGCTCATTTTTTTGTTGGAACTCTGGTCTTTCTTGCTGATCTTTTGGTTGCGAACTTGTAACTGGTTTTCCTTGCCCATCTTTTTGTTGGGAACCTGTGACTGGTCTTTCTTTCCCATCTTTTTGTTGCCAACCTGTGAATGGTATTTCCTGCCCGTCTTTTTGTGGCAAACCAGTACCTGGTTTTTCTTGCTTATCTTTTTGTTGCGGACATGTAGATGGTCTTTATTGCTCATCTTTTTATTGTGAATCTGCAACTTATCTTTCTTGCCACTCTCTTTGCTGTGACCCAAGGATCCGTTGTTGCCTCCAAAGTTCTTGATGAAATCAGCTTCTGCGAGTAGAGCAGCCGCAAGCAACAATGAAAAGTCTGTCAGAGGCAATGGATCCAATTGTGATCTGATCTTGGCCCTCAGCCCTTCTTTGAACTTCATGCACTTCAAAATAGGGTCAGCCACAGCAGTAGGGTCACAATCAGACAACTCAACAAATTGAGAATGATATTGTGCGACTGTCATGTCACCTTGAACTAGTTTCCCACTATATGTCCCGGGGATATATTTATCTCGAAATAAAGTCTCAAACTCATCCCACAAGAGATTTGACATGTCGTCACCATTCATATGCAAGTCCCACCAATCCTCAACTGACCCCTCAAATAGATAAGTGGCAAATCCAACTCGGTATTCTTGTGGAACTACCAAAGTATCAAACTTCTCTTTGATTTCTTTCAACCATCTCTCAGCGGTTGCATGGTCTGACGACCCTTCGAACATGGGGGGTTTTGACTTCATAAAATCCATAAGAGCATTGGTCCTGTGAGCTTCAGGATCTCGTCTTTCCCTCGGTGCACCCTGGAAAGTCTGGAACATCTCATCCAACTGTTCCATATCAAAAGTCACAGATGCCTCGGGTCGAGAATTTCGTATTGGATGCTGGTCAAAATCCAAATTGCATAAAACAATTCAAAAATCAAGAAAGTGGCACTGCATTCTTAATGCTCCAGCATAGTTAGCTTTTCATTAATACTAAATAAATAAACAGTCATGCTCAATGTGTGTCTCATCATGTGGATACAATATTTAAATATGAGTTTTATAGATGTCACATAACACATAATAAAGAAAACAAACATCCAAACAATCACACCAACATGCAATCACCCAACAAAAATGCTATGATATCAACCGGCTTGGAGGTTGTAGTAAATAATTGCACAAATGCTACTTAAATTCAGATAACACCCTTTTATCATTGTTTTAGTACGTGTGCTATTATTTTGTTATAGACACACACACACACACATACAAATATACATATATTTTGCTATTCAAAACAATAATATGCCCAGTGTGTGTCATCATATGGATGGTAAATGCCCCAGCTTATGTACAGATTTTACATAGGGATGTAAATGGCCGCATTGGGGTGGGATTTTGCCGCCCCGCCCTCCCCGCCTTCTCATCTCGCCCCGTGTGCCCCTGTTATAAGCGGGACAGTGCGGGGCAAAAAACCAGATGGGTCACAGTGCCCCGACCCGACCCAGTTGCCCCTTTTTATTTTTTTAACATCAATCAAATATTTTTCTGTACACAAAGTGAGCTGAACCTGCACTTTCAAAAATGACCCCAAAAACAACTAACAAAAACAAATAAAAAGCTGTGGGAAACCATTAATTGGGAAAGCAATAACAAACCCAGCATTGCAGTCATTGTTCTAATATATCTCATTAAATTTGGTCAGAGTTTTTAGAGGTTCTAAAATTTGATCAATACCCTTTTCTTGAAATCAAACAACAAACTTACAAGAGCACCCAAAGAAAAATTCAAATCCAAGACGGCTATGGAAACTTAAACAGAATTGTAGAGAAATGAATAGCAGAGCAAGAAAAATATATATTTAAAGCCTTGGAATTCAAACAGCTAAACCACGACAATGGTAAAAGAAACCACAATATCAGCAAAGTTTTTGAATATCAATTTCAGCTAACACCAGAAAAATCAATTCTTGGATATGTATCATAAAAATGCTTCAAATATTGGGAATTAAATTACACTGTCCATAGAGCCGCGGCCGCGGAGGACGATGGCAGAAGACAGCGGTGGACACAGGGGGGGGAGAGAAAAAGAGAGGGAGAGAGAGAGAGGCTAGGGTTCGACAATAGAGGGAAATGAAATAATCAATACAGGTCAAAGGTTTTTCTATTTTTTTCCTTTCTTTTAGTGTAAATGGTGTGAGTCCAGGGCGAACTGCCCCGCCCATTAAATGGTGCATGACCTGCCCTGAATTATATCCGATTAGTTGCGGGGCGACCCGCCCCATGCAATATGTACAAAAATAACAGGCATTCAAAGTCATCAAAAACATGCAATAATCCGGCACATGAGCCCGGGGAATACAGGCAAGTGGAGACTCCAAACTGTAGCCAGTTAGAAGGTTGTCAGCATAGGGCGAGCCGAAGCTCCAACTAACAACACGACAACTTTGGAACTGAGCTTACAGATGAGTTTTCTCCAAAAGCTACCTGTCCCGCAGTAAACATTCTTGCACAGTGATTTAGGGACTCACATCCAAGGACGCACAACATTGCACCATCTATGCCCGATAAGAGTGAACCCGCACAATGGCATGATATTCTGCACAAAGGCGTGATTCCGCATAAACGCGAGTGTGCATAGCATAGTCAGTCTTCAAAACACGCACACTCCAGGGCATTATATTTCCAAATCATCCATGCAGGTTTAAATTTCACATAAATTAACATGTCATATCAAAATCAGAGGTGTGTGTGAAAATGACCCTTTTAAGCTCTTTTTTAGTAGATAGCCGGTTTTTTGAAATTAACATCTATGATGTACTGATTTGTGGCCCATTTAATCAAAAATTTACTAAATATCAAAGAAAAAAATAATAATAACAAATAAATCGTCCATTTGCCTCAACCAAAAAAAAAAAAAAAAACATAAAAAGTTCGGCCATTTAATATAAAGATGATTAGAACCGGCCATCCACCTAATTTTCAAAACAATAGTTTTACGTGTAATAGATACACATATATGACAAAAGTAAATATATAGCAGGAGAAGAAAAACCTAAAGAAAAACCATGAGACAAACCAAGATAAGGTTTTTAAGCATACCCAAATCCAAAATCAACGAGCACAGTAGAAAAGCGACCAAAATTTGTAGAGATCGTTAATGCCCAGAAAAGCCAACACACGCTAATCAAAACAAACTCAAATAACAGCGTAAATTAAACGACAGAAATCGAAACCCGAAGGAGTTCAAAAGCCAATGATTTCAGATTACAGAAACAATTAGCTCAAAATCAAATGGATAAATCGAATCGAATAAGCAAAAGAAAAGGAAAGGAGTCTTGAAATACCTGGAGATGTAATCGGCCGGAGTTAGATCTAAGCTTCGACAACGATAAATACAAAGCAAAAAAGGAATCGGAGTTGGCTTTTCGGGTCTGGAGGCTGCGATTTTGGGGTTAGGGTTAGGGATAATTGAAAGAGGCGTTCAATTTGGCGATTCTCGTCCGAATTTGAGGGTTAGGGATTCTGTTTTGTCAAGGGAGTATATAGTAAATTAGGAGAGAGAATAGTACGAGGGAAAAAGGTATTATTTAGAAAAGTACAAATACAGTTATAGTCCTAATTATAATCAAACTCATAATACAATCTCTACATACATATGTATATAAATCCAAATCATTATCAAACTCCTAATACAATCCCTTTTTTATACACATGAAAATTTCAATTGTAATCAAACTTATTATACTATTTAAGTTCAAATGAATCCTAAATAATGCCCGTTTAGTTCTCTGATTCGAGTTTTTAATTCGAGTTGAGATTTGATTTTATGTGAGAATTTTTTACTGTAGCAAAAAAGTTATATGTGATTGTTTGTGAGAGCTTTTTACTGTAGCAAAACTCGAATCAGCGAAATGAACCCGGCCTAAATATATAAGAATGAAATAAAACAATTTTAAGATAACACAAATCTTTAAATAATTTCCTTCAAAATAAATCTTAAAATAACACTAAATCCAAAGATAATTATGGATCAAATATTGTGGGGGTGGAACAAAAATAAATGGCAGGACATTTTCGGTAAGTTAATACAAGTAGAATGTATTCTATAATTAAATTTAATAAGTTTAGGATCCAATCAAAAATAAATTAAAAAGTTCAAGATTTACTCTCACTAAATTTAAAATAAAGAGAAAATTACTCAACTTTTACCCTTCATTTTTAATTAATATCTATTTAACTAAGAAACGACAACAAAGAGAAAAGAAACTGTTAGGAAATTATATTTTTTAATAATAATTATGGACCACATATTTATAACAATTATATTAACAGAAATAGTAAAAAATATGTCAATATAAAAAGTTTAAGAAAGTATATAGGCCAACTTTTAGTTATAGAAATTAATAGGCCATAACTTGTCAAGTTATGGTTCATAACCAGATAAGTTAAACTTGTCAAGTTATGGTTCATAGCCAGACAAGTTATGGACAAAAACCGTAAATTATGGACAATAAGTTGTCAAGTTATGGTTCATAACCAGACAAGTTAAGGACGAAAACAGTAATTTTGCCTATTTATTAACTTATGTAAACTATTAGCCTATTAATTTTAATTTATCTCAAGTCTTTGCCTATTTTTCTCTTTCTCCCTTATCTTAACGTTATTTAATTAATTGGGTTAATTAAGCGGTCTAATTATAGAGAGCTCAATAGTCTCTTAACTGGGTATGGGCTAAATGAGTGGATACCCAATATTGACCCAATTAGGTTTAATGGGAGCCTAATGGGATAGTATATAAAGAAACTTAGGTTATGGTTCTCAACACGTCAAATCATTCGGCCGTTTTCCTTCTTCCCCATCTAGAGAGAAAACAACTCATTCAAGAATCTGGTGATTTAACTGAGGAAGACAATAACTCGACGTGCTCGTTGTCTTAGAGAACTAGAAAGTATTCACTAAAGGGTCGTTTAATACATTGATTTGAATTTTTTATTTGAGTTGAGATGTAATTTTATGTGAGAGCCTTTTATTGTAACAAAAAAATTAGATGTGACTGTTTCTAAGAGTTTTTTACTGTAGCAAAACTCGAATCGGTGAAATGAATGAGCCCTAAAAATAAAAAATAAAAAAAACACTTTTTCCATTTAATAAATTTTCGTTTTGGCCATGCATGGGAGAGGACGAGAGAAAAAGCAGAAAACGACAAAAAAAGGGGCATCCACTTGAAAACGACATAATGATCTAAAAAGGACATAAAACTAAGAAACGGCAAAAAAACTATGAAACGACAACAAAAGTAGGTCACTTTTGAGTTTTTCCCTGTTCTAATTCCTTCTTCCCCCGTTTTCAAAATTGGATACACATTAGACTTTAAAGGGACTACTCTGCATTTTACTTTTCAGTTTAAAAATATATGAAGGTAAAGGTAGCTTATCATTTTCCACTGCTTAGTGCTTAGTAAACCTTTTATCTGTCACAAAAGACAACAAATAATCACACGCTATGCTTCTTATAGATTCATAAAAATAAAAAATAAAAAATCGTCACTCTATCTGATGCATTTTTTTATATAATATAACACGATAAGATATGACCCAAACTTGCTTAAAAGAGACAACAATAATTAAGCCCTTACTTGTTTTGTTTGGTTCATTAACTAAAATAAATAATAAATAAAAGAAATCTTCTTTCACAAGCCATGCATAAAAAAGGGCTTTACATTTATAAATAGTTATTTATCTTCAACTACAACCAATTATAAACAAAACAAGAAAAGAAGAAGTCATGGAAGACAAACACATGATCAAAGGAGGATTAATGACTGCAATATTGATGATTATTTCAAGTATGCATCTCTTGCCTTTGCTACATGCCAATACTCTTATTTCTCTATCTCTATATGATCATCACTCCTCCAAAAACGACAATAATATTACACCATTACCCTTTCCAGAAAGAAGAAGCACCCTTTGCAAAAGGTGGGCACGTGAAGCTTGTAAACAATATCTTAAACACTATCGGTAAGCAAATGATATTAGACCATTTACCCGTTGTATTGATAAAAAAAATTTCGAGAATGTAGCTTGATAAAAGGACCCCTATTGCCAGAACACAAATGAAGTCCAAAGACCAATCTAGATTAGATTCTCAAGTTCAAATTGAGACTTGTGATTCAAATTTGCGAAACAAACACGTCTTAAATCTTTTTGTGATCGAGTTTGACTATTTCATAGCAAAAACAAAATAAGAATCTTCAAGCCCGTTTTGATCAATAATTTCACCGTTTTTATATACAGGGGCAGAGTCACACTTTCACGAGGGTAGGCGGCCGCCCCACCTGAATATGTTTCTTTTAATTTTGTATGTGTATTTTTGTTAAAATTTGTAGTTTATAGTACCCCTAAAAATCTGAAAATTATCCCTCAATTTTCTGGTTCAGCTCATGTTTATATATATATATATATATATAGATATATTTATTTATTTATTTATTTATTTGTTATAGGTCTATAAACTTGAATTATGTATACATGTATTGTTCTTTTCTTTTTAATTAAATTTGATAATGTACTCGAAACGTCAATGAAAATAAATAATTTATAGTTTGAGTGTAAGTACTAAGTTAATTGATTAGAATGTGCTTCTTGTAAAATGAGATATATATATATATATAGGGCCCGTTTAGTTCGTTGATTCGAGTTTTTAATTTGAGTTGAGATGTAATTTTATGTGAAAGTTTTTTACTGTAATAAAAAAGTTAGATATAACTGTTTCTGAGAGCTTTTTACTATAACAAAATTCGAATTGGCGAAATAAACGGTGCCATGGTAGACTTTTGTTTCTTCAATATGTGGCTTTTTATCAACTTTTGTTTGCTTGCTCGATCTTTGTTTTAGGCACATGATATGTAAGTAAAGTTAAATAACCCTCAAACAAGATTGAGTACTTTGTTGAACCTCCTGCTTCTATACGTGAAAAGTTGGACGATCAACTTAATTTTGTTTATCGTAAGATATTAAGTGAAAAAGGGGTTACTAATTTTCGTAAAATGTCAATATATAAGAACGACAATCGTCTCATAATGGAATGAAGGAAATTAATAGATCACAATAAAACTAGGGGAAACAAAGGCAACAAAAGAAAATGAAAAACATTAACTTAAGAAACAATACAAACATACAATGGTAGAAATATAGAAATCTGAGAAGAATGGATGGAAAACGACAAAAATACCAGAAAACGACATCTTTTAAATAACAGCACTCATTAATAACCAAAAACGAGAGTCTCGAGAAAGAAAGACGACAACCAAAAAGCAAGAGAGAGATGGGAAATGACAACAATCAAGTTCCCCCACCAGCACAAAATGTCACATGGACCCACAAACCCACAAACATTATTTAAACGAAAGCGGGGCAAAAGTAACTCCTGCTCTTGCTCATCATTACATTATAGATAATCTTTTAACTTTGTTTTTGTTCCCGTGTTGAGCTTTTTTTAAATTTTCTTGGTGTTTCTTTATGATTACTTCTTTCCTTTGTATAAGCTAAGAGGCCAAGAATTCAAATTTGAGTGCTTGTCCTCTATTTCTTCAACATTAGCCTAGAAAATTTTTAATCTCTCTGGCTGTGAAAGAGATTGAATTAGTACTTCTCAGGCGCTTTTGTTGACCAATTGGACATAGGCTTAGTTTGGTATTATTTTTCCCTCTCAAAATTAACTTATGCTTGTAACAGAAGCTGATTTTAGTATTTGGTAAATCTCCTCAAAAGTGTTTTTTAAAGAATTTTTCAAGAATCTACAACCAAAATCAGAAGCAGCCCAAAGACAACTTTAGCTTTTAGATTGTACGGTAATCAACATAATACAATTAATAAAACTTTTATAATACCCATAATACCCCTAATGAAATTTAAAATGTACATATCTTCTCAATTTAAAATTCAGACTCATAATATAATATAATATAATAGTAATATTGTAACAAATGATATCATAATTATATTAATAACTCTAATATTATTATTTTATCATATAATATGATATTATAATAATATTATAATTATTTTATTTTAATAATATGATATTATAATTATCATATAATATGATATTATAGTTATTTTTATAACAACTGCTTCTTCAGCACACAGCTAAAAATAATTTTTACAAAATCTACAACACTACCAAATTAAGTCATAATTAAGCCAGCAAAAGTTTTTCCATACACACATGTAATGTATAACCGGTATATATATATATATTTTTTTTTTTTTTTTTTAAATTACGTTTGCTCTA